AAGGAACTCGATCTCGTGGAGCGGAATTGTGACTATCGTTTTCAGAAGTTATTGGCAATCTCCCAACATCTTGCCGCAAAATCGAGCCTTCCCTCGACTCTCTCCTTTTCCATTCTTTTACGGCTCCATCTCTTTTCCCTCGTTTCGTGGTTCTTCATCTTACGCCCTGCTCCGGGATAAGAAACTCGCTTTCGTTCGAGCAGGCAACCAATCTCGGATTGTAATCATTTCTTTCGATGACTTTCTATTTGGAGTATATCGAGTTTGCGATAAAAGGAAGAAAAGGAAATCCCTGCAAGTGGTCTCCTTTAATTTGTATCGCTTTTGTCGTCGACAGTCTCCTTTGTTTGGGATCTCCTAAATATGAGACACCGTTCTTCGAGATACTTTCCGTTTCCTAACAGAAATCACTATTTCTATACTTATTTGCAACATTATATTTCATCGAGTTTAGGGAATTAGTTTCGGTTGCGAGGACGTGGGGGACCGAAAGTTAGGATATTTCGTTAAAGGAGGTGTTTCAATGACATTACGATAATTTATTTAATTCTATCATTACACATTTGAGACACCCGTAAGTAGTTTTCATGGATCGTTTCTACATAGGGGAACAAATGTTGGGCGCCGATTAGTTAAGCTTATTCGAGAGGAGAAATACAATTAAAGGCCCTCTGCAATACGTTATAGATTTAAACCATACCGAACATTCAGGGACAACCGATTAACCTCTATCTGGCCTGTCGTCTCTTTTTTATTCTAAACATTTCTGAACAGAATCGAACTAGATACAAATTTTCATCGAGTCGTTGACAATTTCGTCGATTACCTTTGTTGTTCTCAATTTCAGAAGATTTTTAATGGGTTCTGATGACATTTTTCCACTAAAGGTAGACAGTGCTTGATGTACACTAATAGGATGCACAGCGAGGAATTGAAAAGAAATAAAAGAACGGCAGGAAGAATAATTTCATACTCCTTCGTTATTAGTGCAGGCTTAAGTGTTTACGTCGGAACGTACTTTCAAGTGCATGGAATTATGGATAAACCTATACAATTTACTGAAATTGAATTTTCCTTAATAAGTATATGTATTAAATCATTAGTCAACTAAATGGGGTAAATTTTCTGCTTGCTTAGACAAGAGCTACCGAAGCACCGAAAGGTCGCGACGAGTAATTGACTTTATCATTTTTTGAATCCTTCTCCATTTCGATCGAGTATTCTCAATAGGAACTCTCTTCTTTCCTGCCTTGATGGTTCCATCTCGCCGCGTTTAATTTTCTTCGTAGATTTGATCCATTTAGTCCATTGGCTGACGTCGATTGTATGAAATTTCCCGTTGACTCACTCGACAGACGTTTCGCTTCTTTGCGAATCATTGACATCGGTTTAAAGGGGGAATAAATGTCTTCGATACATCTCCAAATAAACAATCGTACCGGATGAATTCAGGCAGATTGAATATAATAATTCGAGAGCGCCTCCTTCACATTTATATCGCGTCTCTGCGTCACTCCGAAGCCACCCCTTCGGTACCAAGTCGTAATTAGAACCGATCCGAGGTCTTCTAAACGAGGAATGCTTCAAATATCGACATCCTATCAATTACTCGAAGAATAATCTCCAGAGAGCGAGCTCCGTCAGGAACCCAGGAGTATCGAGACCCGATTGGTCCAAATGGCGATAACCACCTCCTCGATCAGCGAGAGAGTGCCGATACTTCTAACTCGCCGTATTGGATGTCCCAATCGCTGTAGTCATTATCTACGTCTCATCCGAAACTTCGCAGCTCCAATTTCCGAACTTAAACAATTTCGACTCCGTGCCGCTAGCCCGAGGAAACTCAATACGGCGATCTACCTCCTGCTCGCTGATCTCGGCCCGCTTCGTTCCACCGTTTCGCTTTTCCTTCCAGTTCCAAGTGGCGGCGAGATGCGAAGACCTTCACCGTGCGTTGAATAACGCATACCGACATCGGTGTCCTACTTTGGAATCGACCATATCCAGAGCACCGATCCTGGGGAAGGGACCACCCGAGAGAAGCGCAAAGGACGCCCAGGCGGAAGTGGCGGTCGTCAGATAAGGAGGAAACGCGTTGGACGCTCGGTGATCCTCGACAGGGTGTGGCTGGTTCCCGACTTCGAAGATCAAGGAGCAAAAAGTGGACCAAAAATTGTTTCTCTCGTGCGTCGAAATTAGCCGAAGTCGGGGCACCGTCTTCGGGGGAGATATCAAGCGAGAAGAGGGCAGGAGTGCCATTATTCCTCCCCAGAGTAGCATGCATATCGACATCGACACCCAAATTTGGGATCCACGATAAGAGACCCGCAGAGGCTTTCCAGGCTGAGACGTCGGCGTCAATCCGATTCGTATCGATATCGAAGGAAGCAACCGTCGAATAACGGGGAAGAGTACCCGGGTGTCCCCGAAAGAGCGAAGCTGGCGCGGTCGAGGACTCGGAAGTAGACGAAAGTTACGTCGTCGAGTGGAGACGGGATCGTCCTCGGGGTGGACGCGGAACAGCGAGAGAGCGCGGGAGCCGGAAGCGCCCCGACGCCGAGGGATGCACCCCGGACGTCCAGGTCGGGACGTCGGTCGGGGGACGAGGGCACCCGAGAGGGCGCGGCTGGCGCCCAGCTTCGGCGGCTGAGGAGCAAGAAGTGGGCGAAAAGTTGGCCCTCTCGTGCGCCGAAGCGGGCTCGGCGAGCCGCGCGGAGGAGGAGGCGGGATCGTCCCCGGCGTGGATGTCGGGCAGTGAGAGTGCAGGACCGCCGGCGCGGCGACTCCTTTCCCGAGAGGCGTCCAACTGCGGCGGAGTGCTCGGGGGTCCCGAGGCGGGCTCCGAGGGCCGCGAGGAGTAGAAGAGCCCTTTCCAGCCCTCGACCTCGGCCTCCGGACGAGGGTCCCTCGAGGGGACCCGGTCTTCCACCCGGGAGGAAGTCGGACGGTATCGGAGAATCCTTTACCAGTCGGTCTTGGTCCCTGACTCCCAACGCTCCGCTCACCCTCGTGCTCCGAGTCAGCAGCGGGACGCGTCCGCGACGATGCCGGGACCGTTGAGGATCGCGAACCGAGATTCGGATCGAAACGGCGAGCTTCGATAGAGACTCGTCGAAAGTGGTCCGCTGCTGCGAGAAAACGCTCGGCAGGGTGTCCGATACGAGTGACTTTGGTGCGACTCGTCGACGGTCTTGTTTGTGCCGCCGAAAGGGTGCGCGGGTTGGTACCCATCGGATGGACCCTGGCAGATTCGTGGTTTCAGGGCAGAGGTAGGGGAATTGGAACGAAACTTGTAGGAACGGCGTCGGGGTTTGCGGAGTTACGTTTGGTGGAGTTTCGAGTGCTCGACGAGTTGATCGGTTCGATCGCGATCGCGATCGTTGGGTCGTCGGAGCGAAGGAGCCAGTTTCGGTGGACGCAACGCACCATGGTACTAGAGATTTGTTTGCAGACCTTCTGATCGGCCGGGTTGGAGCGAAACCTGAAGTGGAACGGTCCGATGTTGACGTTTGGAGAGACCGTGGAAATTGGCACGAGTAGTTTAACGCGTGGGAGAAGTGGAGTTAATCGAGTCGATCGATCCGCTTGATCGGTCGGAACGATCCAGGAACGAAACGGAGTCGTCGGAGACCTCGTTTTTCGATCGTTGTTCCCCGTTCTCTTCAACGTGCAAGAAGAGGATCCGACTTAATCTCTGGCTCCCGGTGACGCAAAGGGAGGTGTCGGAAACAGGGTCAGAGTTCAGCGTTGGCATCGTATTTCTTCGACTGCGCACTCCGAGGAAATCATTAGCGGGCTCGAGCCTCTCCCCGCTTTTTCGCGATGCGAGGTCGGGCAAGTTCAGGGATAAACGCCACGGATACAGGATTTACGGCGAAAGTGGATCGCCCGGAGACGAGGACCGCTTAAGGGTTGGTTGGTCGAAAGGGAGCGGAAGATCCCGGATTTCCGGACGCCAACCCATTTACCGCTGCATCCACCCAAGAAGCCCTTCGACTTTGCGCTGGGATGAAAAAGCAAAAGCCTCCTGGAGCCCGATGCGGAGTGTCGATTCATCAGGGATTTTCACCATTGTGAGAGCCTCCGCTGTGGCTTTGCTTCGCCCGGATTCTACGAGCTTTCCTGGAAAGGAAATTCTGAAAAGAGGGGAACTCTCAACAGACTGGAGATCCCGCTTGGTCAAACCGACCGCCGAAGATCACAAAGGGACACCGAAGAAGTCGCGATCGTTTGCAGAACCGTAAAGAATCTTTCTACTCTCCCCCCAGCCCTGACGTGGCCTCGGATCGTCCCGAGTGTTTGGCTCTGGAAAGGTGTTCGTCCCGTTTGTTCTTCTTTCTACCTTGGCTGGATTAAAGTCTGGCTGTTTTCTCCGCCAGGATTCCACGTATCGCGATCGATGTCATTAACCGGTTGGTAAACATTCCCAAGTGGCAAGTTTTCCCAGCCTGGTGGGATCAAGGGGACTTTTTGGCTCTAGGACAACCCGAGAGTAATCGAACGATCAGTGAAAGAAAATCCGTCTACCGGGAAGGACGGTCGCGCAGGAACTTTCGAATATCCGATACCAAACCCATCAACGTTAATCCGGATCTCATCCTATATCGTCGATCGAAGATCTTGAGAGCATCCCCCGTTCGGGGTACAAAGTGCATCTGGAACTTGGGTTCTTCTCCGCTCTCGATGGATCTGACGGGTGTCCGAGGGAAAAGCGTGAACGTTCGCTGGGCGAAGATGGACTCTTCTTCCTTGGGTTCTTGGTAAAGGCCAAGGACACTCTCGGAAATACTCCCGATCCTTGGTTTATCGAACGATCCGCCGAAGGCTAGGCACAATCGTTCGCGGACGTTCTGGGATCCTCGAAGGCCGATCGCCAGGGTCTACCTGGGAGATCTCCTGGACCCATCGGGACAGCCTTGATCGGGCTCGGAGCATCGAGGAAGAATGTTCCCCGGGAGATATCGGGGGGCGAGCGCACCCTTCGTCTGTCAAAGGAAGAAATGAAGCTGTCCGTGTCGGCTTATAGAGCCCAGGCCAGTGCTCACAAGAAGATCCTCTGCAGTTATCAGCATCAGCTGAGCTACGGGGCGACTAATCAGGCACCCTCGGCCCGGACCCCCTCAGACCCCGCGGCGGTCCTTCCTGGTCTCAAGGTATTTTATCGTTTTAGATTTTATTTTACCTTTCCGTTAATTATATTAATTATGGCTACTTCGACTGTTGTCCCGCTCTCGATGGACCCCGATTTCTCAATTTCTCTATTTTTCTTTTTCTCCTCTCTTTACTGTCGTTCGGTCAGCTGCATCGATAATACCGTTGGGGTTTTCCTCCCCCGAGTAATTTTTACATTTTAAAACCCGCAGGAATAGATTCAGTGTTTAACTTGATTCGATAAGGTTTACTGAATGTTTAGAGATACGTAGTTGTAGAATTTTATATGAATTTAAGTGGATTGATCATTGGAATGATTCGTGAATACCGATGTGCGAGAGCTCCCTTATTAATATAGGTGCATAGAAGCCTGTCTAATCAAGATTTTATCTAACGGTTTTTATCTCTACATGTTTGCAGAAAATTCTGTGTTAAATGTTACGTGTACATAAAGTTCTTTGAACCGATCGAGGTCTTCCCGTGGTCCTCCATTTCGAACGTATGTAATCTGTTCATGAAATGTGCACGCCCTAGTTAATTAATAAATAATTATATTTTCCCAGGATTTTCGACCTCGTTGCTTCTTACATAACGTCATTAGTTATTTTAACTTCGCAAAGTTAATTTATCGATTTGAGGAACTTCTACGAATGTGGAAGAAATAATTCATCTTCCGTTTTATTGCTGGCTGGTAATTCAATTTTCCTTGGTCTATGAGACGAAAGATTGCTATACCGAGTAGATTCATTGAATTCATTAGTTTTTCAACAAAGATAACAGAAAGGGGAGACAATTAATATTGGTCTCGTTTATTTAGGTTTGCTCAGTCGTTCAAAGGTGACCGTACATGTTACGATAAATCGTAACAATTTCTAATCTGTGTAGTTAAATCGAGTTCTAAAGTGTTCACACGTTATCCACGTATCAGTTAAATCTGTACAAATTGGTCTGGTTTTTATAACAATCGTTCCTTGTGTAGTCGCCTCAACATATACCGGATATTTCGTGTATATGGACAGATAAAGCATTTCATGTATATGGACGACAAAGCAACTACGACGAACGATCCAATATTGAGTTGTTTTTAACCTTTGTTGGTGCCATTAAGCTGTTGCTCTAAAACTCCTTATCCTAGGTCATTAAATAAATTATCGTTAATTTCTGGACAATTAACAGCGGGCCGGGGGGAAAAGTTGGCACGCTCGCACGGGTCATTTATTCAGAGCAGAAGTTCCATCGAAATGGATTAAAGTGGATCTTGTTTTTGCCAGACTTTTCGTACACGGGAAATCATTTGGAAAGTGGACGTTTTCCTCTTTTCGCGTGTAAAGTTATACCATTCGATTGACGTTTACGTACTAATTCTACTGATAACACGATGTGTCCAAGTATCCAAATCACCGTGAAAACTATGGAATACGAATTACCTTCGAAGTTATTTTCTCTGATTTAAGACGATTACATTATTGTCTATCAGAAGATTTGTATGTTGTAAGTAATTTGCTCCATGGCCACGCATTGGTGAAATAACGAATTTCTAGTTAGTACAACTAGGTAATAATGAACATACAAGAGATTTCGGAAGTCAGTGTATAGATATTGGTGGCATGAAAAAATTGTTAGCAAGAAATTAATCCATGAGTATATTTAGGAAAGTTTTTCTTACGGACAGTTGGATTACGAAAGATCAAGAAAATGAGGGTGCAGTCGCGGCTTAATAGGAAAACGCTCTCGATAACTAATCAATCAATCCCCACTCAAGCAAGTGTCGTTAACAGGTGACGGTGTTGTTCGGAAAATTCGGTCTTAGATCCAATTACCATTAATATCTTGTTGCTAGATGTACACTGTTTGTGGAATAAGTTACATCTAAAAAATGGAAATCTTGTAAATCAGAGACTAACGTATATTGTTTAGGATGATGTAAAGAGACAGTGATTCAATATTGATTTAATAAATATTTTTCATTATCAAAATATGGGCATAGTCTCGTTTCATTACTCTAAACAATCAATGCGGTTGTTCGATATGCGCAACTTCGACTTTTAAGCGTTGCAGTTTCTTGTTTTGAGAACAATGCATAATCATACATTTCAGATTATTGTTTGCATCATTTTAATTTCTCTGATTCGACGACTCCGCATTTATGACGTTCTTTGTGAAAAGTAAAAAAAATGGAAAGGATGTTGTTTTTTTTTGTCAAACCGTGATTTAATTGGATAGTGGCGATTTTTTAGATTCTGGCTGAAATCTGGTTGCAGTTTGCGATTCTCTGTATTTTATTTATTCGATATGTATAGCTGGATTCTGCGTGGAAAATTATTCAATGAATATACATTTGAAAAATTTCCTACGGTTATCATGATTTGCGCAGGCTAGGGGAAAATGTCCGTGTACTGTGCATAGTGATTTTCCTGTGGCGGTTCCACTGAAAGGCATTCTAGCTCACCCTCCAATCAATTGATCTCTGTACAAGCGATCGCTTCCCTGACAGATGTTGGTGACACGTTCGGAAAATGCATTTTTTTAAATCGGTTTGTCACGTTCGACAGTCGCGTACACAGGATTTATTCACGCGTTTCGAACAGGTTTTTATGTCATTTTAAGTTTTCCAATTTCGCTGTCTTTTAATTGCGATACATACTCTCCCTTGAGAGACAAACTCGGCAGATTTTTTCCATTGAGCTGCAATTGCTCAATGATTTTTCCCATCCCGTGCGAAACCTGTCAACCCTGGATAATTTTGAATTGAGTTGTTAATTGGGTGACTTATTTTCATGAAGGCATTAGTAAGGTTACGTTTACCATTTATGTGGTTTCACTTCCCACCCTATTTTGACCCTGTCGCAATAATAACTGCAACCAAATTAATTGTTTTTCCGTCTAGTGAAGCATTTGCTCCGACTTTACTTCCCTTAATTTCAACCCAAACTTAATAGCACGTGTACATCGATATAAATCGATAAGTCATTTTCCTCACCGCGGCGTTACTAACGGCGTTTAGTTGAAATTCTTTGAAAGGAATTAATACGTAGTCCCTTTTCTTTTTTTTTTTTTTCATTTCGGGTTCACCCAAATTGACGAGTCTTCCTGGGAACTTTCAGGGCGCAAGGAAGATTTGAAAGTTAGTTTCGAGTATATTCGTCTGGTCGTCGGTGTAAGAACCTCTTGATGGGTGTCGCACGTCCTGAGTCGTGTTCCTCAAGCCGATCGAGGCCTTCCAAAGTCTTCTTCGTAGGTTTCCCCCATGTCGTGAGCGATCTTCGACTTGGAACGCTTCGGCCGGCCGATCGATCCGATCATCTATTGTCTGCGGTTCCCTTATACCGTGCATTACGATCTTAGATGGTGGGCAGTGAGCTATCTTGTAAGTGTTTAGCCTCCCTGCGCCTCCCCGGTCTGTTAGGCCTGTCGACGTGGTTTCCCCTTTCCCTCACTTTCTTCGATTAAGTCTTAAGCCGACTCCGCCGACCCTACGACTCAATCCCCCGTTTGTTTCCAGTTATCTGTCGAGTTAACTTTTGAGAACGCTCGGTCTGAGCATTTCATTCGCAAGACTACTCATTTTACGAAATATCTTCATTCTCGGTAACACTCAATTACCTGAAAGTAAGGAACATTACAAATACTGGGAAACTTTGAGAGATTAGAACGGCGGTTCTTAATCTTCGTTCCGTATACTTTTTGCATATCTTTTTGGATATATTTGCATATTTTTGTTGTTAGTTTTATGAATCATTTTTTTTTCTTTCTTTTCTTTTAGTTAGTGGTTTTTGTATTTCGTGCATTTTCTTTAGAACCAAAAGTGTTTCGTTACGTCGAAAAGATTAAGAACTATTGAATCGGAAGAATCAAATTTAACCTATCGTTGTCTTCTACTCGTTCATGTAAAAATGACCAATTCATTTTTTCATTTCATTATCATTTGATTTTATTATGAGAGGGATAGAGCGAAAGTGAGAGAGAATTTAGTCTGTCCCCTTAACTTTCAACCGTTGCAATTATTTTATAAAAATGTCAAAATACGTTTATTGCGACTTTGACAATCAATGCCGTGAAGGGAATAATTCATTTACGTACAGTGTCTACTACCGAAACGACCCTAGTAGCACAAAATGTTTGTCCTATATTTTCTATATATTTAACGAATATCGTATATTTTGTAAATATTTAACAGACATTTGAAATATTTGCCAAACGTTTACTTTAGAATATTATCTCTATAATATTTATATAATATTAGCTCCACGTGTTTTCATAATATTTTTCTACCATATATATAAAACATTTCGTTTCATTTTAAAACAAGTATTTTTTAAATATTATCTACCGAATTCATTAGAAACGTTTTAAAAATATTTAAAATCAAAATCACACGTTTTGCCCCCATAATGAAACAGCGGAACGAAAATATTAGAAAAATTTCTCGTCTTTCTTGATACCAAATGAAGTGTCCGATAATAGGCGTGAAGTAAAAAATGTATTTTTATTATGTTAATAAGTTAAAAAACATTTCTCTATATGTTTATAAATTATTGAAACTAAATATGTCATTGACATTTTTAACAAATATTTCAAATATCTACGAATGAAATCTACAAGAAATCTTAAAAAATCTGTCGCTTGAGATATTTAGCAAAGATTACAAAGAAATATTTAGACATTATTCTATGCTACTAGGGGACTCTTTGTGGACAATGAGATTTTGATCTTCTAAATGAATCATTTTGTATAGAAATTTAATCGGGCAGATGCGCCCAAAATTCAAAAGGTAGGAACATATATGTTTCAAACGCTTAAAGTAAACGCGTATGTGCATGTTACCAACTCTTATGGACTTCATTAAGTCTCCTGAAATGAAGGTCTCGGAACAGCGTCTTATACCATTGAAACAAAACTCGCGACACTGGTGTATAATAGGAGGGAATAATTCTGCTGGAATTGCAGCAAACGGTGAGGGGAAAAGGGTGGAGGGGGAGAGTAATTGCACCAAGAAGATCCG